GATGCTTTTTGATGTGTAATTTTAGTGCATCTAATGATTATCCACATATGATTCACATTATGTAAGGTACATAGTTTACTAACAGCTGTATTCCATCTGATCCCTCGATAAGGTCAAGTAACATAACTCCAGAATACAGACCTCAACTGATTATATTTTATGATCACAGTGTTCATGATGAAATGTTTGACTAAGGTGATGGTTTGTAAGTTGCTTTATACATGGATTTGTTTCCAGTAAAGGATATATTACTTCAGCAAAACTGGAATTTGACTTTGTCATCATATTAGTAACTTACAAGATGGAGTGTCTGTTGCAGTACTGTACACATTGAAAACCACAACACCTGTGTTACAATCTTTAGCTGTCACACTTGTACTTCCCTTTGTACTTAAGTGATCTGTTGCATGTATTGGGAATTCTTTTTGTAACATTAAAACACATGTGTTAAATAGGTACCCTATTGATGATTATGATTATTTGCCTTACAGTGTAAAATGCTTTTTTCGCATCTTTGAATAAGATATATTTTTTTTTATTGGGTAAAGACTGATTGCCATTTTTAAAGTTTAGGATTGTACTTAAAAGCCCAAATGGCTGTTAGGACATTGTGAAATATGTATAGTATGTATTTCCTTTTTCTTACGCTTTTTAGTCTATGCCAAATACTATTAACCAGTGAGATTTGAAGTACTGGCTGCATATGATCTACCCCTTTTATTAGGAAAGAATCTATCAAGTGCTCCATTGTGTGCCAGATACCACCCCACTATCACAGCTGAAGTGGGGTAGAAGATGAATTGTTCTTCAAAAATATATATATTAAACAAAGAAAAGTAAAAAAAAAAAAAAGAAAATATATATCAAAAAGTGGACTTAATAGATCGTTGAACTGGGAGGAAGAAAATCTTTTTTTTTCTTCTTTTTCTTTTTCTTTTATTTGACAACAAAAAAAATTATATCCATGGAACCTAATTTTTGTTTGATTTAAAGTTACTTTTATTTTGTGTAAGTCAGGATTATGTAAATAACCATATCAGGAAGAGCAAGCTGCTGATAATGATGAGTAGGTGTTCCATAATTGTTGTAAATACTTGTTATAAGTGATGCACAGTGAGAGGGCTTGGAGAACCTTGCCGTGAGCCCAGCTATTGTGTGTAAAAAACCAAGAGTCCATCCACATCATTTATTTTTTCTCCTTTGTATTTCGTAGGTGATTTGAATCAGTACCAAATTTTTATGTTCTGTTATTTAAATTGGTGATGGAGTATGAATTTGTTTTGTTATGGCAAATTTATGCCCAAGGCGCCAAATGCAAGTTTTGACAGTTTCCTACAAATGTCAAAAGGTAAAACTGGCCTGTGAAGAGCCTGGGACAACATTTACGATCCTAGGCTCTGTCATTTTATTTCATTGTTACACAGTAGGACCCATAGGCCCAAGAGGTATATATTTTGTGGAATGTGTCCTGTTGTATTAAATTTATTTAGTGTTTGTATATTTTATGTCATTTAGGAATGATGTATCTATATATTGTTTGATATAATGATTGAGTTATAAGAAAAAATTATTATGTATATAAAACTTCCAGGGCTGCTTTCAGAAAAAGTGTCAGGGAATGTCTTAATAGCACCCAGACAAAAAGTGATGGGGCAGTGGGAAGGAAGAAATATATGACAGATTTTACATTCTTTCAAAAGGAATTTTATATGCTGAGTGAAATTAACCCCCAAAATACCCTTCCACTTAACTGCTGCACTTGTGAGATGAGGCTGGATTTAACCCCTGTGACTTTTTTTTTTTCTTTGGTGTGTGAAGTGGTCATCAAAATTGAATGAATTAAGAATGTAAATTGCTTTTATGTGGCACATGGTACATGTCTGCACTCCTGCGGAATAGATCTTCTTGACCTCAAGATAGACGTTGTAAATTAAAGTCACTGCAAACCAACTTGGGCAACAGATGGGAACAGCAACCTTAAACTATTTTGGTGACATGTTTGTAGTTCCCCTGTCAGCCAAGACCACAAGTCTTCACAACCAAATACCAGAAGTTGGCAGGGTCTGCATCGCTCATTGAGATGAATGTTTGTCTCCTTTCCAATGGGTATTGTCTTGGGGTGTGTGGCACCCTTCCCCACTCCATTGCTAGACAGTAGGCCAGGTCCACTAAGCCATTCCATGTTCTCTGGTGATGTAAAATGAGCCCTCTGGCATCATGTCATATTGATAATTTGGGGAAATAAATTTATCAATGACTTTTTATATTGTTGTTTTCCTCTGGTCTGGTCAGTGATTCAAGTATCCTAGATATGGAATGCCATAAAGAAGATATGAAGTATGGTGTATTTTGAGAATTCTTTACTCATATTTTGGCTTAAATTTGTTTGTGGATTGATTTAAAAAAAAGATCAATACCTTTCAAATAAAAAGTAAATTTAAGTTGTTTCTTCATAATAAACCAAATATTGTGAGGAAATATTTGGAAACCTGACACATTTACCACATACATTTCTGAGAGCAATATCAAAGAAAAAAAGAAAAGATAAAAAAAATTCTAAAAGTATTCATGCACATACCTGTACAGTACAGTACATAGACATTATCTAGAGAATTTTTTGCCCTCCTCCTTCCTATGCCCACATGGAGGGAGGTGCATAGGAGACGGGGACTGAGGCCTAATATGGGGGATCACCCTTATTTGGGTCCTCAGCCCTTGTCTCAACTAATTTTACATGGTCTTTTCTTCTCTCCTTTTCCTTCTCTTCTTGATCCCCCTCTTCTGTGTACTTATCCTAATTGTTACCTCATTTTTATCTTTCTCGTCACAATACTTTGTTATACTTGGGAGCTTTGCCCACAAACCCCACCCTATCAATGTATTTTGAATACACTACTACTGACCTTAGACAGCATGGCAGAAAATTTTCAATAAATAATAAGCCCAACCTTTAGCCTCGGCTGAATTTGAATGGTGTTCTCTTTTTCCCCTTTCCTTTTCCTTCTCTTCTCCAAACCCTTCTACTATCCACTTCCTAAGGCATGATAGCCATGTTGAAAGGATGAAAGACTAACTTCATGAATGGCCTAGGGAAGCCATAGGCACAGTATTCCTGTTTATTTGTCCAGCAAGGGGACCTAGAGGAGTGGAACGTTGCTCTCCCCAAAATTCTCTAGGTTTACCATGGCAAGTAAGGAAGATTCTGTACCTCCTTGGTACTCTCCATGGACCACAATACTACTACCCTATCCTCAATGTCTACTTTCACCTTAGTGCAGTCCAATCTCATCCTCTCTCAATTCTTGAACTGAAACTGTCTCCATCTCCACAACAAACTGCAAGGATTGGTCAGACTGTGGAGAAGACTTACTCACTTGCCTCACTGACTATGATATCGTTGCAGTAAATTGTTACACCATTCCCTCTTAAGGCTGCTGTAAGACCCCCATCAATATCGCTAAGATTACATTCCATAGGTATGATCTCCCCCATGATGTTTCTATTGGTGGAAAGTCCATCCCATATCCAACCATATCAACCTCCCCCCTGCCTACATACTTGAAATGAAGGTAACAGTTCTCAAATTCAAGTGTCTCTGATGAGATTTACCTTTAGCTACCTAATTCAACGCTGTCCTTTAACCCACTCCTCTCTCATCTTCCCAAGATGTTACAGCATCACTCCAGTATCTCTTCCCTCTACCCTTGGCATCCTCAACTCCCTCTCTCCCCCAGTCATTTTTTTTCCAGTCTAAATTCTGATACTGGTTACAAAGCAAAATAAATATGCAAGACATCAAAGATCATATAGCACTAAAGGAAGGTGCACTAGTGAAAAGGGTAAATTAAATGTGCTACATGTCAAAAGTTGTAAAGCAGTTCATTATGGGAGCCACCACAATTGGTGCATGTGTGGGATTGATCAATCATGACCAGGTTGGGCACATAGAGGGCATCAGTTGGCAGGGTGACCTAGCCCATTAGATCTGGTTGTCATGGCAATCAAATCACTAAAAATCTGGACATAGCTTCCATGAGCAGCTGCTCAGCCAGGTGGCTGCTTGTAGGTAGGGGACGTATGAACACAAGACTCTAGGCCTCCTATTTGCAAAGTTATTTACTCTTTTTATACATAAACATGTTTAGCCTTTTGCCCATTTTCCAATGTCCATATTTATTATTTGATTTGCATTATTTAGATGCTAATAGTTTTTTTTTCTTTGCACAGACTATATTATTTCTCTAGTTAATCTACAACTCAATACAAGAAAAAAAAAACTATGGAACACTATCACACTTTGTGTCATTTTAAAATTTTAAAGATTCAATTTTCTGTAACAACTTCCGTCACTGCTCATGGCACCAGGGATACGATGGTGAGCATGAAAATGGCATCCTCCATGGAGCCGGTGCTCTCCGAGTCACCACTTATGGACATTACATTCCAAACTCATACATCGATGGGAATAATTCAAAATCGACAATTCCCAATAGTGTCGAGTCTTTTCCATCACCCTAGACTTCAGTTAAAACACTCTAAATATCAGGTTTGCATCATATGGCTTACAGCCAGATTTTCCTGTGACAGCACGTTCATGTCACTCACCCCTCGACCTAGATTTTTTCATGACGTGATGGTCACGTTACCTGGATCTAAGGGGCTAGGTACCTCAGTTCCGACACTAATAGGGGGGAAGTTGACATGGTCAGATGGGGAGGGAATAGCTTGGCAATATTGGTGAAGGACTTATGGCAACCTCTAGGGGAAATGATGTAGCATTGTACTGATACTGCATTGTAGTCTGACCAATCCTTGTCATAAACAGGGTAGTTTGTCAGGAAGATGGGGACAGTTTTGGTTTAAATACTGAGGGAGGAATTCAAATATAACTGTGACAAGGCATAAACGATCAGGGCAGCTGCAGATGGAAACTTTGTGTACTTGTCTTTGGAACAAAACTAAAGTGGACTTTACATGTGTCAATGGTTAAATAAAATAGCTTTTTTAGATTGAAGTTTTCAAAATTTATTAAGAATATGGCTTTTTGTCATCATACATTTTAACACATCATCTTAGTGTTCTCCATGTATATTCCTTCAAATATCAAGGGGGGATTATGCTAGTGCGGTTTATTATAAAGGCTAATAAAGTATCATTTTAAAAATCCTATTCCCATTTGCTTATTGGCAATGAAAATGACAAATTTCATGAAACAACAAAAATTTTAAATATGAATCTTGAAAACGAATCTCAACCTAAATCTTTTAAAAGACCAAAACACAAAACACTTAGTGATTAACATGAACTCTTGACCAATGCATGATCCATTACTTGCAGACAAACATGAAGTCGTGATAATCTAATGAAATGGTTCGAGAATGACTGGTGGAGCAAATGGCCAGAATTTTGTCCTTCTTAGTCAAAGCCTTCTTTCTTCTCTCTGATGGCTTCTCTGAATCTTTCCTCGAGAAGGGAAAGTTCGGATATCAAGTCTGTGATGGCGTTCATGAAGGCGTCGTGTGGGGTGTAACTGGCATCTGAAGTCTGAAGAAATAAGCAATTAATAGGGAACAGGGTGTAGGTTTGAAATAAAGGTAATAATGATAATGAACAAAGGAGAATGTGTGATAAGTTCTTCAGAATCGAATACTTCCAATGAAGTTATAACCCATAATGTTATTTACATGTTTGCCTTGTGTAAATATTCATTATCAATCATACTTTCTATAACAATCAATAAGATCCAAGTCTAAAAAGATATGAAAACATCAGTCAAAAATGTTTAAATACAAAATAAATAATCACACCAAAAATATGTAAATAATAATTACCTTATAATTAAATCATTATTATATATATATCAAAGAGAAGCCTACAAATCTAACAGGAGGAGCCAGTCAACAAGTAAACACAGCTTTTGTACCTCTGCAGGTAAATCTGCAACACACAACCTATAAAACACCAAATAAGGCAGAAATGAGGAAATATAAACCAAAATCAACTTCAAGTACCTGTATTCTGAGTAACACTTTATGCTCGAGAGGATGAGGGTTCTTATAGCCAGTAAAGATTACATTAGGGTCCTTCAGCAGCTGCATTCGAATCATGTTGCCTAGGGTGTGATCTTCCTTGTTGATGGTGTAAATGGCAGCATTTGGAACCTGCAAGTTGCAGACAGTTAGATTCTGGTAACACACTCTACCATGACATTACTTATGTGTATCAGTTCATAAATGTCCAGGGAATGTTTTATACCACATAGAAATGAAATGGCAAATAATCACTAATAATATAATAATAATAATAATAATAATAATATTAACAATAATATACTACTACTACTACTACTACTACTGCTAACAATAATAATAATAATGATAATAATAATAACAATAACAAGATTTGGTAGGCAGTAAAGATAACAGGATGACTGAGTTGGACAGTGGTGTGGGGCGAAGGTTCATGGCAGTCAAGGGAATTCAGGCACATGCAAAAATGATCCTAAAGTCCATAACAACCTATGCATATGGTTACACTGACTACATGGAGGTGGCAGTGGTATTTTTTTTAGTGCTTTATACTAATGAATGCTCCACTCTGAATGAATCAAAGAACAAATACAAAGGGCAATGATAGGGCTTTCTTTCAATCTATAAGAGTAGCCACTTAGCAAAAATGCATGGAAAATCAATGGGAAATGATCAGAAAACTTTATATATTCAATACTCTTATTTCTAGAACTTTAAAATACACACACAACTAGGTATCCAATTTAGAAAATTCAGTATAATTGATTTCTGGCATCTTTGGCTACCTTAAGGTCAAATATAATACTGTGACTCCAGAAGATGCACTAAACAAAACTCTTCCACCTGCCAAAATTTCATGCAAATCTGTGGGATCATTTTCTTTTAAGACCAACACAAAAATGAAGTGTGAATTCAGTACCGGTAAAACTTTATAATACAGACATACTTGCCAGGGACTAAGCCTCCAACACCACATTGCAAAATCTATTCAAGAACCTAAATTGCCATGACTGGTCACACTGCTCTGTCTCCTAACACCCCTAGCAAACATTGTCTTCACCTCTGTAAGCATGGTAAGTGGATTAAGGTTGTGAGTGGCACTTTCTGCAATTTTTTTCCTTTTTTTGTGTCTGTAGAATATAGCCTGTACTAATGAATACATATTAGCCTCTGCAAGAATATCATCTTCAATTTGCCCTAGCTTAGTGCATCAGTACTGTAAAGATTAAAAAAGAATTTTAGGGGGCAGCACCTCCAAAAATAGATTTTTCTTGTATGCCAGTTTTACTTGAAATTGATATGATACTTTCAATTTCAAAAGCATAATATTACAAAAATATTATTACTATATATGCGTATAAAGGGAAATGTCTTCCTCTGGAAGCATTCTGTTTGTGTGTGATACATGCAAAAAGCTTCATATTCATGTGGAAATGCAAAAATTGATGGAAATAGTGCTAGTGTGACAGGG